GGTCCAGAAGGCCCCTCTCCTGGGGCTGTACAACTGGTGGTCCTGGTGGACGCCGCCTCTGGGAAGGAAGCTGGGCGGGGCTGGGCGCTGGCCTCGGGGCTGGACTGGACGTTGGGCTGGGCGCCGGCCATGGGCTGGCCGAGCTGCTCGCGCCTCCGCCTCTGGCGCTGGGCCTGAACTGGCGCGTGAGCTAGAGCGGGGCGCGGCGCGTGAGGCGCCTTCTGCCAGGGGGTCTGGAGACAGCAGGAGCCTGTACTTGGCCCCAGGGGCCGCTCTCTGCCCCGGGGCTGGAGGTGGCTGTGGGCGGGGCGCCTGGGCGGGGGAGGCCCAGGTACCCGGAGGCCGCCTTTCTGACTCAGAGTGGGCCCCAGCTGCGCAGGTTTATTGGGGTGTGGTTCTGACGCTAAGGCTGCTGACTGGCACTGCCTAGAGCCCCCCATTCCCTCCCCCATCGCAGGCATGAGCGGTCCAGGGTGACGGCACACCACGGCAGGCCTAATTCTGTCTCAGCCCTGTGAAGCATTTCACCGGACAGCCCGAGTCGGCCATGCCACCCTGCCACTGGATCCGGCCCTGGCCTCTCCCCACCCCTGTGCCTGCTGTGTGCCCTCGCCCCTGTGAGGAGACCGGCCGCCACCAGGGGGCACTGGCGCCGCGGTCCGTTGGCTCTGGTGGTGCCGCGGGCGGGAGCAGCGCTTTGCCCCGAGGCTGGGGCCGCCTCGGTCTGCTTCTGTGGCCGCCTCGGTCTGCTTCTGTGGCCGCCTCGGTCTGCTTCTGTGGCCAGCCCTGGGTGCAGGTCGGCTGGCCAGGCGCTTGTCACACCCAGGTGATGGGCAGTGGCGTGGGCTTTTTGTCACTCCCGTAGCGGACCCCAGGCGAGCTGGTGGCCATTGTTACGTGTCACTTCCAAACCATTGCCAGTTTGTGGCCCTTTGCGGACCCTCACCTTGAGTACGCCAGATACAGGTGGGCAGACGGACGCCTGGAGCCTGAGTTCCAGGGTTCACGCTGTCTTGTGCTTGAAGACGGCTTGTTTCTGTCTGTCCCCGGCTGTGTCCAGCAGCCTTGCCGCGGGAGGCCACAGCTCCGAGACCTTGGGGTGGGGTGACATTTGGGGGCCAAGGTGGACCTTGATTTTGAAAGACTAAGATGAGGCAGTGTCCGGTGGGGGCCTGGCGGGGGTGGCGGCCACCGTGTGGGCCCCGGCCTGGTTAACCTGCGGGCTCGGCGGCGCTGCCCAGTGGTGC